TATTCACTCATTGGCTTCGACACGGTCGACAGTAGAAAATGACTAAAACGCCTGCAGACAAATTCGGATTTTGGGGGCCTAGTTCTCGTGGAAGAAGAAAAAGGGAACGGAATATTTGCTCTTTTGCGCCAGATATGGTCTCAACTCCTCCGGAGCGTACTCGACCTCCGCCTCTTTGCTGGCCTGACTCTCGTAGTACTCCTCTTTCGACTGGACGAAAGCCGTGAGCGCCTCATTAAGGACGACATGTACAGTCGCTTTGACAATTGCGTCAGTCTCTTCGGTGCCCCCAAGAACCGGCATGTCTGGAGCCAGATGAGCCGCGGTGCCGATGGTTGTTGAGGCCGTCTCCGAGGCTACATGTCGTCTGGTGGTGATGCGGTTGGGCAGTCGTAGACGCAATTGTTGCCTGGCCTTCTCAAAGACCCAGAGGCAGATGAGTCTGGCCAGCCGAACGAGCCGAGGTCTAGTCTGCTGGCCAGCTTTCACAATGCCAATCAGAAAGAGGCCATTCAAGAGGCTGGCGAAGATGCCCAAAAGGCCGGCGATGAAGAGGAGGAAGCCGGTCTCGCGGATGGACAGAGTGAGGCCCGGAATGAGAGAGACCATCTCGAGAACTTGTGTCTCATCCTCACTTCCAGCTTTGGCGTCGGCGTTGTCCGGCCTCAGCCAAGCCATGACCTGGTCGAGTCCCGGTTTTGACTGATACGAAGCGGCCACAAAATCGAGCAGTGCAGGCAACAAGAGGCCGGCGTCAGATTCGTCGACCGGCCCCTGGCCGATGTGATCCGACGAAGGTGAGGAAGTTCGAAAAGTACGATTTCTGTACCTTTCGGCCCAGTGTCGACGGGTGGCCGCCATGTACTCGAGCCCGGTGCACTGACGGGATCCGGCCCCGTAAACACCGTAAGTCCTGGGCCGTTGAGGCGGGCACATCAAACAGTGATCATCTCGAGTGGTGGTATCCGCGAAACTGTCGATTGGACACTGTTGGTCGCAGGAGACGCCGGAGCCCGACAACACAGTCGACACAGTCCTGCGACCCGGCGGACAGACTCGACCCGAAAACGAGTTCGGTGTGAGTTGAGCGAGGCCGGAGGCAGCCTCGACAGAGGAGGATGAGCGAAAGAGGTTGTCCAGTGTCTGTTTATTCAGTGACTCGACCAAACTGGCGGCTTGACGTCGACAGGCGAGCAGACGCAACCGACTGCTCAAGGGTACCAGGAGACTGTGTGGCAGACGATTCGAGTCCAGCAGCTGAGGATGCCGAGTGTTTGAGCTGACAGGGACGAAGAGAGGCAGCTCCAGAGTCTGACTGCAGACGAGGCCCAACTGACGATTCGCCAAGACTCGACGCCACTCGCCGTTATTCACCAAATCATAGTCGGCCCAGTTGAAGACCTTGAAGACGCCTTCCTCGTCCGACGTCTGCCTCACCTCAACACGATCTGTGGGGAGCAGCAGTATTGGTCCGTCGTACTCAAGCCTTGTGAAGGTCCGCTCGTCGACGAGCAGATGAGTCCAGTAGACCGTCGGCTCGACCGTGTGATTGTGATCCCGACCGAAGATGAGCACCAGCCGGTGGAAGACGGTACAGATGGACTTTAGCGTTGAATTGGTGTACGGTGCTCGTCTGTCGGAGATAACCAACTCAAGGCTACACTCGTTCTGACGACACTCGACTTGGTAACTGCCACTGAATTGTCCGGCCAGCTGAAAGGTGGCGTAGAAGCCTCGTTGGCCGGAATACCGTCGCGAAGTGTAGGCCAGGGAGATCGTGAAGCCCTGCTGCATGTTGACCAGCGTGAAGGGGACCACGGCGTCGACGTACTTCGAGAAGACGCCTCGTAGGTCGACACACACCACGGGTCGGTAGAACATTTGATGCGGCTGACGAAGCGATCTCGTCCAGACGACGTCAAAGTCGGCCAAGAGTCGGTCAAGACGGCTATTGGAGGCCAGCAACGCCGTCAGACTGGCACAAGTGACATGGGACTGTGGAAATTGCAAGTGCAACCAGAGATGCAGTCGTCGTGGCAACCTGTTCTGGTGTCCGTCGGACCACATTCCGCCTGACCGGCAGGGCTCCGCTTCCATTGAATCGCCTGGCAGACTGAAAAGAGATGCTGTGAGACAGTTGTGATGTCGTACGGTCGAATGACGCGAATTCGGCTCATGCAGACCCGTGGCGCCGACAGAACAAGCGTACAAACGGCAGAAGTGACGAGCAAACAGATCTACCTGACGACGATGACACGTAGCACAGACGCCGGTCGGCCCGGCGACAGAGTCAGGCTGGACAACGAGACCTGCCAAGCCAACTTGAAGTTCGGGCAAAGCCGCGACAAACGGACCACAGGAGGCCCAGGGCACTCGGATACCGGCAAATAGGCAGCCCGGCAACAGGGGTTCCAGGCCAACATTTTCCAGACTAAGTAGCAGTTGCGTGGCGACCCCGGGCATTTCAGATGTCTCCGTCGTCTCGTCCTGACCGCTCAGGCGGTACAGATAATGCGTTTCGGACAGACTCACCTGTTGAGCCTTACCGTGGTCGGCAGGTGCGTAGGTGGTACAGACGAATGACGTGTGCTTGGGCCGCCAGGGGCCCAGCAACGAAACGACGAGGTGGCCAGACAACCAGTCGACCTCGTAGCCGAGGCTCTTTACGTCCTCTGGGCGAGTGGAGTCGGCCGAGTGGATGGACCAAGTGTCGCTAATCGGTTCGGTTGAGGCAAGTAATCCAAGATCGACGAACAACGGCGCCCAACAGGCCAATCGTAGAAACATGAATCTCCGCTGGGGCACCCACGAGTGGATCCGCAGTCGAGGCGGAAGTTCCAGCAACCGTTGAAGGATTTTAGAACCCGGCCAGCCGAGCGCAACGCCACTTTGGCCGGGGATGATCAATTCAATCGGACCTCCAATCGAGAATTGATCCGCGGAGATT